AAGTTATTATTATCTAGTCTGTTTAGTACTAGCTATAGTTTACATTAGTGTTAAAGTAACTACTTAAAGTGTTATATAAATGCTTCTAGTTATGTCTACGGCTTATGTTGTGCATATACAAGGTTGTTCTTAATGTAGACAAGTATGTTGTTGCAGTGCTTAACTAAGAGCTTTAGTAGCATGCTTAGAAGATTGTAGAGGTCGTGATTAATGCACCTAGTAAAGTAGAGACTTTAAGTTGCCTCGTTAGACTAAAAGGTTAAGATTAGTCTTAAAAGATACCTAAAGTGCTGCAAAAGAGCAAATTTAAGATAGTAAAGCGTAACAAAAAGGTCACAATTGTACAAAGGCTGTTAAAGAAGCTCTCTCTAGTATAGATTTAAAAATAGCTTAATTAACTTGCAGGCAATTGCTAGGCTTATAACTATAAAGCTATGTGAAGCACTAGAGGCATAAGGAACTAGATTAAATTCATTGCTAGAGGAGTCATTTGTAGGAGTCTATATATATGCGAAATAAGTGGGTGAGTCTTAGCAACAGGCTATGGTGAGACGCATACAACTATGGTGACGACGCATCTGATCATGGTGACGACGCATGCGACTATAGTGACGACGCATTCGACTATTGTGTGACTACTACAAACACCTAACTTAATAGCTTGTACCTATACTATAAAAGTTCTTAGTGTTAAGTCTTGTAATAGTTACTACCTTAGCTGCTAAGGTTGTATAAAAGCTCTGTCTTGTTATCTGCTATTGTTAACTTAACTGCAACCTTAATGTTGCCTAAGCTAGCTCTTTGCCACTGTCTTACACACTGTATAGCTGCTAGAAGTTGCAGTTTTATAGTGTAGTAATGTAGCTTAAGAAGGTTGCTAGGCTTACTAAACAAGCGCTCACACTTACAGCTTAAGGTTAAGATAGAGGGTATGTTAAGCGTAAGCTTACTAAGGTTAGAGTAGTAATTATGCAGCTCTACCTAGTATTTAATAAGCTTGTTTACAAAATTACTACTCTTCTCTGCGCGTTGCTTAGTGTGCTTCTACCGCTTAAACTTATTATTATCTATAGTGTTGTTAATAAAGGCGCTAGAGTTAATAAGGCTGTTAATAGCGTAGTCTATATTGCTTATAAGAATCTTAGAGCATCTTATCTATAATAGTAAGGTACTATATAGCTACTAAAGAGTGTAAAGGTTATAGTTATTAGTAATAAACTGCTTAGGTTTATTACTTTAGACAGTGTTACAGTACGTTTTATAGTATAAATAGAGTATTATAGTAGTATTGTATACTAGCAAGTTATTTAACTTAGTATAGTACTTACTAATTTTAGCCTATGCAGCATGTAGGTTAATAGCAAGATAGTTTTTAGACGCCTTATTATATATATTATAGTCTACCACCTTATATACTTTAATATACTACTTATAGTATAAGAGTATAACATACTCTACAGGCAAGTTGCTTACACACCTAAGTTGCTTACTTTTATTAAAACTTTACTAAACTACTTTTTTTACACTAATGTATTTCTAACAATACTACCTAGATGTGCTAAAAGAGCATTAGATATAGCTTACACCTTAGGCTTTTAAATAAAATATAACACACTTAAAGTAATCTGCTATAGCTATGTATAAAGTTTTTAAAAGATAATAAATAACTAATATACTACATAACTTTTATAAGGTAATTTTATAGCTAACTTATAAAAGCTAAGTAATTATTAAGCATATACTTAAGGTATGTATATAAAGATGTTTCTTTTAGCTAGTAGCTATAGCTAATATAGCTAATTCTTTACACACTAAGCATAATCTAAGCTATGTTAGCATAAACTAGCCTTGTATATTTATAAAGCATTATTTAAAGCTTAAAGTAAAGTTTTGAGTATAAGTATAGTTAGTAAATATTTAGCTTATTAGAAAGCCTATTTTATTAAAGTTATATAGAATGTACTTCACAGGCGAGTTGCTTACACACCTGAGTCGCTTACTTTTGCTAAGACTACACCCTAATAAACTCTATTATAGCCTATAACAACTCGCTCTAGCACTATATAGTATAGTACAGCCTAGAATATTATTTAGATACTACTTCTGCTTCTTGCTTACATATTTGTGTGTTATGCCTAGTCTAATTGCACTATCTGCAGCGCCTTTAGAATAGCTTACTTACTTTAGCTTACACCTACTTTTTTACCTTCTTTCTATTACTACACACTTAAAACTCCTTTAAAGCTGCTAAGTGTAGGCTTTTTTAAATTATTAAAGTTTTTTTTACTTTAATTTACTTTTTTTTATGTAATTTATATTACATAGTAGCCTTATAAGCTACTTAAAGCTTAGTAATTTTTTATTACACTAATACTAGCTTATATATAATTATTACTACTTTTTTTAAAACTTTTTTAAACACTTTAACTATAAAAGTTAGTAAACTGTTTCTATACTTTTAAATTTTTATTTTTATAAAAATTAATTATAACCTAAGTTTTAAAGTATTACTTAGGGTTTACAACTACTAAGGCTTATTATGTATAAGTAGTAGTAGTAATAAAGTGCGCAACTTTATATTAAAGCTTATTATAACTTATTATAGGTTAAAAGAAACTAATCTAGCGTCTTAAAACATTTTTTTAAATATTACTAAAAGTAATTATAGCATTATAAGCTACTTTAAAGCATAGTAAAAACTTAATTTTTATAATATAAATAATGTAGTTATATATAAAGTTTTTAGCTTAGCGCTTATATACGTTTTTTAAAGAAGTAAAATAACTTATATTAAGTAGCTATAAAAAGTGTAATAAGTAAAAAAGCATATAAAGAGTAATAATTTTATTATTTTTATAGTATTATTAGAAATAAAGTAAGTTATAGCTTTTATAGCTATTAACAACTAGTAAATAGTAGCTGCTAATAGTACACTTCTTTATATGCGCATTAAAGTGCTTTAACTAGTCTAAACTAAGCTAATTAGTAGTCTAGCTCTGCTTAGAGACTATAATAACTTAATTTTAAAGTAGATTTTTTTATACTAGTTTAAAAAGTAATTACTACTATAAAAGATAATAAAAAGTAAAATAGCCTACTTTTTTGCATTAATGCTCTAGATAGCTATTGTCTACTCTTAGTTACCTAGCTAGACTGCTTTTAGCTGTTCTTATCACTCTAAACTTGTAATAACTGCTCTAGTAGATATTTAGCCTATTATAAACTCTGTCTTATTAAAGTTATATATGTTATTATTCTAAATGGTATACTTAGCTTTAATATTTTTTATAAGATTAAACTAGCTTTAAATTACTATAAAACTTTTATAAAAAGCTTTTTTATAGTTATACTTACACTTAAACTTTACTTTAAGCTTTAAGTAGCGCTTAATAAATATATTAGGCTAGTTTATACTAATATAGCCTATATTATGCTTTGCATGTAAAGAATTAGCTATATTAGCTACAGCTACTAGCTAGAGAGGAAATCCTTATATATCTAGCTTAAGTATGTGCTAAATAATTACCTACTTTTTATTATTATCTAGCTTTTATAAGTTAGCTATATAATTAGCTTAAAAAGGTTATTTAGTGTGTTAGTTACTTATTATTTTTTAAAAAACTTTATAAATAGCTATAGCATGTTACTTAAAAAATGTTATATTTTATTTAAAAGCTTAAAGTATAAGTTTTATCTAACATTTTTTTAACACATTTAAGTAGTGTTACTAGAAATACATTAGTATAAGAAGAGTACTATAGTAGAGTCTTTACAAAAGTAAGCAACTTAGGTGTGTAAGCCACTTGCCTGTAAAGTACGTTATTATTATTTTAAATGCTATACTTAGCTTAAATATTTTTTGTAAGGCTAAACTAGCTTTAAATTACTTTAAGATTTTTATAAAAAGCTTTTTTATAGTTATAGTTACACTTAAACTTTACTTTAAGCTTTAAATAACACTTTATAAACATACTAAGCTAGTGTATGCTAACATAGCTTAGATTATGCTTAGCGTGTAAAAAATTAGCTATATTAGCTATAGCTACTAGCTAAAAGAAAAATCCTTACATATATAGCTTAAGTATGTGCTTTATAATTACTTACTTTTTATTATTACTTAGATTTTATAGGTTAGCTATAAAATTAGCTTATAAAAGTTATTTAGTGTGTTAGTTATTTATTATTTTTTAAAAAACTTTATACATAGCTATAGCATATTACTTTAAGTGTATTACATTTTATTTAAAAGCCTAAAGTATAAGCTATATTTAATGTTCTTTTAGCATATTTAAGTAGTGTTATTAGAACTGTATTAGTGTAAGAAAAGTAGTTTAGTAAGGTCTTAGTAAAAGTAAGTAACTTAGGTGTGTAAGCAACTTGCCTATAGAGTATGTTAAAAGTTATCTAGTATATTAGTTATTTATTATTATTTAACAGACGTTATACATTGCTATAGCATTTTACTTTAAAAGTGTTATGGTTTATTTAAAAGCCTAAAGTGTTAGCTATACTAATGTTCTTTTAGTGCGTTTAAGTAGTGTTGTTAGCATTAGAGTAAGAAGAGTAGTTTAGTAAGGTCTTAGCAGAAGTAAGCAACTTAGGTGTGTAAGCAACCCGCCTGTGGTGTACGTTAGTAAAAAACTAACATTTAGATAATAGCAAGCTTTAATTTCTAATAAGCTTAATATTAATGTAGATTACTATTACAGCAGGCGTGTAGGCATAGCGTTTGTGTAGAGAACACTGCTAGCATTGTAAAAGAATACTTAGAGCTAGAACACTTAGCTAAATTAGACTAGTTTTAGTTTAAAAAAGTAGAGAACAGAATAGTAATACTTTTTTATTCTAACTACTATAGATAAAAACTATTTGTTTATACAAAAATTCTTAGTTGAGCTGGTGCGTGGTGGAGGAGGTTTGTAATCACCTATCACCGAAAAAAAATCACAAAAGTCCCTCAGACGGCTGGACAGAGACAGCGCTCTTGAGCCCCTGATTGGCTGGCCTTATCAGTCGAGGAGCTAGTAAGGGTCCCCATCCTAGTTGCAGGGTCCTCAGGGGCTCCGAGCTTCTCTGTACAGCCCCCTGAGCACCGGAGATAAGACTACATACTGTACGAAAAAGGAGCTAGTCCTAATGAGTGAATAGCGCAGTACATGGGTATAGTATCGCATGAGACACGTGCGACAGAAAGCACCATCGTGGAAGTGATAAGACCCACACCCAAACGCCTCCAGCTAGCCCAGTAAATGAAAAAGAACAAGACGAAACATTTGTACGCGTCACAGTCCTGCATCAAGAAGTCCTTCTCCCCCCAAATTCCTTGTGCAGTCTAATGACCATGCGGGCGATGACTGCCATGCTTGCCTCCTCCGCAGCCGTAAGGGTGAGGCTCTTGATGAATTGCTTCGCTTTGTCTGGATGCCATATCAAGCACTCCTGTTGCATCATTTTATAGAATTCGCTGGCAGATGAGCCTGGAAGTGCATTGTAATAGAATGTGACGACGTTCTGTTCATTCACGTCCTTTTGCAGGCCTGACTTAACCGGCCATGGAATCCCAGAAGAACTGTAGATTTTTTTCCCTGTTGGAAACGTTAGGATGAAGTCTAGTGCACAGTTAAGCCAACAAACCTTTGAATTTTTCTTGAGCCTCCGCATATCGTGTCCACGCTTGCCTCCATGACCGCCTCTCTCCTTCGGCTTCACGGTTCTTTCTCTCTTGCTCTTTGCGTGCATACTCCTTGGCACGCTCCTCCCTCCTCTTCCTTTCTTCCTCTTCTCGCCTCTTTCTGGCTTCTTCCTGGGCGCGCTCTTGCCTTTTCTTCTCTTCCTGCTTCCTCTTCGCCTCCTCTCTCATGCTTTGGCTTCCGCCAAATCGTGGATTGGAATCGTCATCATTCATCCGAGCGTTTCGCATTCGTTCGGACAGATCCTCTAGATCCGTATCGTCAATGAGACTCTTCCACTTCATAGCAATGTCGCTCGCTTGGCGTTTGTGGTGGTGGCATAGAGCATCCGTAGCCACTTCTATCAGCTCCGCTTTAGTGGGATGTACGTGCGGGAGCCTGTTGCCGATATCTTTCAATTGCTTTGCCACACTTGAACCATACATTTCCCACCCGCATCTTTTTCGCTTACTTGGGGCATAGCCTACGCAGCTGTTGTAGCCGAAACTAGGATTCCAGATCTGGAAAAGCTTGAACAAGTCGATGTTGGGTGAGCTCATGGTGATGGTAGAAGAGAAATGAAGCGTGGCTCGTTTGGTGGGCCGCACAAGACGTGTTTACACTAAATATGGTGGAGCGTGGATTTTCAAAAAGCGAGCTTCGCTATATTTAATCTTCGCGCCGGGTACTTCGCATTTCGCGTGCATTTCGTGTGCCTGGCCCAATCCTCGGCGGGCGTGCACAGCCTAGCGCCGCTGTCATGCAAGCTACCGCCCCTAGTTGTTCAAGGCCTGCAGGAACACTCGTTCGGCTCGCGATCAGCCCACAACATGCCCAAGGTGGGATGGATTCTTGCTAATTCGCCTGCACTAACCGCCAGGCTGGCTGCCTCAGCCCGATTGGCGTCTGCGGAGCCAGCTGGTTGGCTTACGCGGGCTTTCAAGCGCAAGGATATGCATCATGCGGAGGCTACATCACAGAACTTTATCGCTATCGTTTTGGGCAGGCAATTAAACCCGTATGCCGAAAGCAAGCCGTGGATATCTTTCATGGTATGGCACCGTTTCGACACGCGGTGCGCATTATTGCGTGTAAGAAGTGGCGGCATTAAACGGAGCATTCTAGGGCTAAGCCAACAAGGAAGAGGTCTGAGGAAAATTGAGGAAGGAAGATGAAGGTGAGGGGGCCAGGAGTGCAGGTGCTCCTTTTATAGTCGTCTCCAGCAGGTCTAAATGTCAATGAGAGCTATTCCGGACAAAGGTTATCTCAACAAGCTCAGACCGGATGGGAGAATCGGGGTAAGCCCCGGCCATCAATGCAGTGTCTAGTAATAACCAACCCCCTTTGTCTTGGCCCGAGTCACGGGTCACGTGTCGTGACGGGTCCTCCGCCGGAGGGTCGCGTCGCCCGTGTAATTTTTAGTAGCTTGGGGCCTAGATTCGTATGGGAAAATCCACCTTCTGCTTAACTTTAACGCGACGTACTATCTCTCTATTGCTTAGCGTAAGAATAAATCAATTTATTTAGTTAATTCTGCGTTAATTAGGATACTTTTTTAGCAAAATTGCCATATAGGTTGTGTAAAGCCGGATGTCCTAGAACGGGCCAGTATGGCCTCACCTGACCTGTTTGGAGGTCACATGACCTGTGCTTCGTATATAAGCATGAATCTTGACAAGGGAGGCTTGGCAGCGATTCGTCTCTCTTACAATACACTCCTATTTCTCCGAAACCTTGCTCTTAGTGCTATCCGTGCTATCTACTATCCTATCTTTACAGGTTGTAGAGATAATATCGCAACCACTCATCAGGGAGCAATGAGGAGCAGGGTCTATTGACTACGAGAGGCTCTTAGAGAGCCTGCCTATGTAGTGGGAGCTCAGGCGCCAAGTGTCTTAGGCTACACGTCCTAAATATAGGCGCGACACTAGGTCCATGTGCTCTTCTTACGCGACAGACAACCCTATGTTTAATCAATTACCTTAGGAGCCTAGCTTTTGTGTAATAGATCCTCTTACACCTCTAGCAACTTAACTATATACAGATATTAATACAGCTGCGCGTGTTACCTTCTTATATATATAACTGTCAGATATGCGCACCTACTGTTAAGACAGGAGGAACGCTGAACGAAAGCTGCTACATAGTACGAGCAATAAGCTTGAACAGTATGTTGCTGCAAATTGCAGCATGTTGCAAGCTGGTCGCGCTTAGGGCTAGTGTGCGAGGGACTCGGACCGGAAAAACAAAGCCGAGCAACACGAGCAGAGCGAGACAAAAAAAAAATAGATTAATCAATACAATAAATCATCATCCCATACATCATATCCAAAAACCCATCATTCATCTCAGGAAGCCCAGAAACAGTGCTTTAATCTGACAATAACATACTACGCTAATTTATAAATGTCTTAGAAAAACGGAGCTTAGAATAGCAAAGGGTATACATTAGTAGTAAAACTTAAACCTTAACTATCTCTATTAGTTTTAACTTAAATTAGATAATTAATAGCTTATTTTAAAGCTTATTTTAACTTCTATATTTTCTGTTTAGAAATTTAATTTATTATACTAATATTAAGCTAGCTAATTTAAATAGAACTATAGAATATTTAAAAGCAAATAACTTTAGTAATATTTAATAAAAGATAAAAGTAAAAAGATTGTTCTATAGTAGTATATTTATGCTAGAGATAATGTGAAAAAACTAAATAAAAAAAGATTAAAAGTAAAGTAGAAGTATATTATAAACTAAGTAAGTTATTACTAAAATGTAAAATAGTATTAATTCTTAACTATTAATTTATTAGTACTGTTATGTAAATTAACCTACTAAATACTTTATATCACGTACCCTATAAGGAAGTTGCTTACACACCTAAGTTGCTTACCTTTGCTAAGACCCTACTAAACTACTCTTTCTATACTAATACATTTCTAATAACACTACTTAGACGCGCTAAAAAAAAAATTTAGATATAGCTTACACTTTAGACTTTTAAAAAAAACGTAACACTTTTAAAGCAATGTGCTACAGCTATGTATAGAGTCTTTTAAAAAATAATAAATAACTAACACACTAGACAACTTTTATAAACTAATTCTACAGCTAACTTATAAAGGCTAGGCAATAATAAAAAGTAAGTAATTATTAAGTATATACTTAAGCTATATGCGCAAGGGTTTTCCTCTTAGCTAGTAGCTATAGCTAAAATAGCTAATTCTTTACGCGCTAAGCATAATGTAGGCTATGTTAGCATAAACTAGCCTAGTACGTTTGTAAAGCATTATTTAAAGCTAAAAGTAAAGTTTTAAGCATAAGTATAGTTAGTAAATATCTAGCCTATTATAAAGTCTATCTTGTTAAAGTTGTACATGTTGTTATCTTAGATGCTATACTTAGCTTTAATATTCTCTATAAGGCTAAACTAGCTTTAAACTACTCTAGAATTCTTATAAAAAGCTTTTTTATAGTTATACTTAGGCTTAAACTTCACAAATATACTAAGCTAGTTTATGCTAATATAGCCTAGATTACTCTTAGCGTGCAAAGAATTAGCTATATTAGCTACAGCTGCTAGCTAAGAGGAAAATCCTTGCTTATATAGCTTAAGTATGTGCTTAATAATTACCTGCTTTTTATTATTACCTAGCTTTTATAAGTTAGTTGTAGAATTAGCTTGTAAAGGTTATCTAGTATGTTAGTTGTTTATTATCTTTTAAAGACTTTATATATAGCTACAGCATGTTACTTTAAAAGTGTTATGTCTTATTTAACAGCTTAAAGTATAAGCTGTATTTAACATTATTTTAGCAGATCTAAGTAGTGTTGTTAGGAATGTATTAGTGTAAGAAAAGTAGTTTAGTAGAGTCTTAGTAAAAGTAAACAACTTAGGTGTGTAAGCAACTCGCCTATAGTGTACAGTCGCCTACCAAAAGTCATTAGCCACTCAACAATCCGAGCTCTGCAGGGGTATAGTCAGCCTATTTAGGAAAGAGGTTACTTAACTAATTGCTACCTAAATTAAAAGATTTTTAGTTCTATAAGAAGCCTGTGTTAAGGCCTATCTTCTAGCGTTATAGTTAATTAATAGTAAGTTAACTTGCCTTTGTTTTAGATAACTTCCTTTATGCGCTTTAACTAGCTTAGGATACTCTTCCTATAATTAGCTAGTGTAATCTTTGCCTATTCCTCTTTAAGGATATCTACTATCTGCTTATAAGTAGTAATATATTCTTGTTACTTTAAGATGCAGAGCTTTATAATCTGCTAGAGGTTCTTAATTAGGTTTAAATTAGGACTTTATAGAAGCTAATCTATCTATATTATGCTATAGTTGTCTATATACTTTTAGGTAGCCTTTGCAGTATAAATAGGGGCTCCATCCTGCATCTATATGCTAATACCGCGTTTCTCTGTAAGCTGCTTATAGAATAGGATGCTAACGTTGTGCAGAATCTAATAGTATTTGCTAGCATTGTTCTGCTTGCCTTTCTAGTTAATAAACAGCTCTAATTTAAAATTAAGAGAGATTACACTAAATACAGAGACTGTAGTCCTTTTAGACTTAAATGTAGGCTTTAGGTACTAACTCTTGTACGCTTTTCTATGCTGCTAACGTACATATAGAGGTCTAGTGTCTAAGCTAACTTTAAATGTTGCTTTATTATAATAGGCTACGCAAGCCACGTCACTGCTCTTGTTATATTAATAGATTTAAGTAAAGCAGAGTTATTTTTCTTTGTGTACAGCTAAGAGCTAAGGCTTGTAACGCAGACAGAAGGCGTAGTACTTATGTTTTGTAAGGTATCTCCTTACAGTACTAGCATAGATGCGGCAGTAGGTCTTAGACAGTGTCGCAATAGTCTAGAGCGTAGCAAAGGGATTATTTGCTGCCTAGCAAATTAAATGCCTCTTAGCGCGTTTGTTAAGCTTTAGAGGCCAGCCTGTACGCAGGGCTTTTGTATAGATAGGCTGGGGCTGCTTGCGCAGCCAGCGGATGTTATATGTAACTGTCAACTTAGGAATGCTGAGATGACTTAAAATTTTGCCAGCGCTCACGCTATAGAGGTGGAATTGCTATATTATATTAACAGTAGACTTAGATAGCTCTTTGCGTAAGGTTTTATTTGCTTTTATAACTATTAAAAAAGGTGGTAATTTAATTAAGTTACAATTAATTAAAATTAAAGCATTGTGGGGTGGCCTAGGCCTCTCGCTAAAGTGGCCAATCACTTTTGGTAGGCGACTGTACGTTATTAGAAAACTACTAGATTAGGAAATAAACTAGATATTAGCCTTTTAAATTAACGTACTTTACAGGCGAGTTGCTAACACACCTAAGTTGCTTACTTTTGCTAAAACCCTACTAAACTACTTTTTTTACACTAATGCATTCCTAATAACACTACTTAGACATGCTAAAAGAATGTTAGATATAGCTTACACTTTAAGCTTTTAGATAAAACATAAAACTTTTAAAGAAACATGCTATAGCTATATACAGAGTCTCTTAAAAAATAATAAATAATAATAGCGCTAGACAACCTTTACAAGCTAATTTTATAGCTAACTTATAAAGGCTAGGTAATAATAAAGAGTAGGTAATTATTAAGACTATACTTAAGCTATATGCGCAAGGATTTTCCCTTTAAATAGCATTTATAGCTAATATAGCTAATTCTTTACGCGCTAAGCGTAATCTAGGCTATGTTAGCATAAACTAGCCTAGTACGTTTAAGAAGTGTTATTTAGACCTTAAAGTAACATTTAAGCATAGTACAACTATAAAAGAGCCTTCTATAAGAGTCCTAAGGTAATTTAGAGCAGGTTTAGCCTTATAAAGAATATTAAAGCTAAGTATAGCATTTAGGATAATAACATATATAACTTTAGCAAGATAGGCTTTATTATAGGCTAAATATCTATTAACTATACTTACGCTTAAAACTTTACTTTAAGCTTTAAATAACACTTTATAAACATACTAGGCTAGTTTATGCTAACATAGCCTAGATTATGCTTAGCGTGTAAAGAATTAGCTATATTAGCTATAAATGCTATCTAAGGGGAAAATCCTTGTGCATATAGCTTAAGTATAGTCTTAATAATTACTAACTTTTTATTATTGCCTAGCCTTTATAAGTTAGCTATAGAATTAGCTTATAAAGGTTGTCTAGTGCTGTTATTATTTATTATTTTTTAAAAGACTTTATACATAGCTACAGCATGTTTCTTTAAAAGTTTTATGTCTTATTTAAAAGCTTAAAGTGTAAGCTGTATTTAACATTCTTTTAGCGCCTTTAAGTAGTGTTGTTAGAAATGCATTAGTGTAGGAAAAGTAGTTTAGTAGGGTCTTAGCAAAAGTAAGCAACTTAGGTGTGTAAGCAACTCGCCTGTGAAGTACGTTACATACTATTAGAATAGTTATAGTTATAGTAGTAGTAGTATATAAAATAGTTTTTTTTCTAGAGGCACTCCCTCTTCTAGAACCCTCTCTATACATAGACAGAGCTTAGAATAGTAAGAGTAAGAGGTATATAATAGTAGTATATAATATAGTTTTTTTTTCTAAAGGCGTTCCCCCCTAGAACCCTCTCTATACCTAGACAGAGCTTAAAATAGCAAGAGGTATATAATAGTAGTTGATATAGTAATATATAAAGTAGTATATAAAGTAGCCTTTTTTTTCTAGAGGCATTACCCCTCTAGAACCCTCTCTATACGTAGAGTTACTTGCAACACAACTAATGTCTACTAGGGATTGCTGCCTGTTGTTGTAATCTACCGCAGTTTGCTGTAGTTTGCTACAATTTGCTGCAATTTACCTTATGCCTTTCCTAACGCTGCTACGTAATCTCTTACTAATACCTCTAGGCATTAGCCTATTATATTTAAACAGTAGTTGAAGAAGCGAAACTAGCGGTTGTGCAAGCAAAACAGTTAAGAGATCTGTAACAGCAGCAAGAAGAATCTTATCCTAGAGGCTATCATCAATAGAAGTAAGTAAATAGTTGCAGGCGGTGCAGGAGGCTGTAGTGGGTTATGATAGAGTCTTTGCGGCGATAGAGAGGCGGAGGCAGCCAAACAGCAAGATGTTCCTTAGCTACTGAGTAAGTAACCCCCAGAGCTCCCAAACAGCCCAAGAAATTACTGCCGACACAACAAGCTACATAGCTGCAGCTCCACGACTAGGGCTTTAATTCAGGCTGCACGTAATTAGAAGCTGCAGCATGCTATACAAAGCGTAGTGTACTTTTTAGAAAGTTAATTAAGAACCTGCTCGTTAAGGTATTACATGTACTACATTAATCTTTGCGGCGATAGAGAGGCAGAGGCAGAGGCAGCGCCAGAGCTCCCCAGCACCCTGAGAAATTCCTGTAGAGGTAACAAACTATAGAAACTGCAGCTCCACAACCAGGGCTTTAATTTAGGCTGCACGTAAATAGAAGCTGCAGTATACGTAGTGATATTAGGCAGTAAAAGGAACAGGCGCAACACTAGAAACTGCAAGATGCAAAGAAAAAGAAGGCTGTTGTGGGGGCAAGAATATGTTAGGGGGGGGAACACGTTAAGCTAAGGCTAGAACGCGTTCTCTTAATTAAAGCTAACAATTAACTCATTTCTAGATAACTAATCTTAAATTTACATAAACCTTGGGTTCCTAAAGAGGGAATTTTGCTAAACCTAATTAGGGCTAAGAATTAGCCAGCTGTTATTCGCTCTTAAGTATTGCTTCACTCGCAAGCTCGCGCTGTAATAAAGTATAATAAACTCTTTATAAATTTATTAGCGTTTTATGCTTATAAATTATATATATAGCTAGTAACAGTATTTTAATTTATACTAGTAATTATACCGCTAACGGCGAGCCATTTCAGCTATTATTTCTGAGATTCAGACAATAATTGATAGAGATACACGTGGTTAAGTTCATGCGACACGTTGTTTGATGCGCTTAGTGGTAATCTTCAACGTTCGGTTACCGTATTTTGTCGCACGTGAGACTGGTTCACGTAACCCTGCTTAGGGTAAATGTGGTCCTTCATCTCTCATCCTTTTCTGTTTAGGACTAGCGCTCTTTTACCTACTATATATTTACCTCTGAGATCTAAAGACCTTACACCTCGGCTCAATCTACCTAGCTTAGTTCTCACCACCTAATTAGCTACTCCATGCCCTCCACCATCAATCAGCTCTAACTGTGTGATACTTAGAACGGCCCACATCAAACATGATTGTTGCGATCCAAACATCTGAAGTTGTCTAGTTGGAGCGTTGGCAGAGGTCTTTCTACTCCTTCAAGGTTCTCATGGGTCTAAGATTCATCAGCGCCTTTGACAACAGTTTGCACGAATCTACAGTGGCTGACCTCAGACTCGCCCTTGCGATTAAACTCATCCAGAGGGACCGATGCCTCTTGCGTTTTTTTGTCTCTGATATAGTTGTGATAACTCAGCAATGAATCATAATGAGACTCGATTATAGGACTATCGCAAGTTGTATGACCCGGTTCTCTCTCATGTCGACGGATAAAGGACCCAAGACCACGAAGGGTTCCTCCAGTAGCTGGTCCAGCCAGAAACACCCCACCCCCCCTTTGTGTCTTTTGTGATCGGTCCCGTCTCGACTTTTTGCCTGATACTTTGAGCCAAGAGAAGATACGCTGATATGTATTTGGCGATCTCCGTTCAGCAAACTGAGGTTCACGATCACGATCTCGAATCTGCGAAACAAAGACGGAGCGGAACGCCGTCACACCGCCCATGATAACGGCTACGCTAGCTTCAACATGTATCAACAGAAATGTGTAAACGATTCCGAATTTTACTCTTCCTTTGTGGTCGCGGAAACCGCTGCTAATTGACCTGCCTAGGCAAATCGCGATCTGGAAAACATTCAAGCAGAGAAAGGTTAGAATGCGTAATTTCTGCTTGAATTGGAGACGTGAGTTTCGGAGAAGGAGTATCGGAATGAGGACAATGAGTACATCGGTCGCGATGTCAACGGCAGAGCTGGTCCAGCCGAGTTCATTGATATAGCGAGGAACTGGAGAGCATTTGGTTCCTACATGATATCAGCTGTAAAGGTCGTTGCCGTGTTGGAACTATCTGATTGCCTACCTTTCTCCCAACCGCAATCAATTGGGTTTCGTAGAATGTTAAATAGCCATGATAACATTATGACTACCACAACAAACTGCCACAGCAGTGTAAGTCTTCTGCTCACGTCCCTGATCAAAATCCAGAACAATGCCATGAAACTCATCTTAATGGCCATAAGAGAAGTCCAAGAGAATATGAGGAAGAGATTGTTCCATCTAAGCAAACCAGGCAAAGATTGCATCTCGCTTTTTGTGAAAAGAGCAACATTCCTCAGACTTGCGGCCAACGTCGCCGTCATGTACATCCTTGGTTGCATGTAGTATATAAAGCCTGTTGAAATCATCAGACAGCATGCTGCAAGAATAACAAGCAAGTCGTCTATGAAAAGTTTGCCCCGTTTGCGGATGTGAAAGAATATACGACTTGTGACGGCAATCACTGCTAATCCTGTGAACGTTCCGATTAAAGCCTTTTGTTTGCTTAGAGATGTCTTTCAAGTCTTTGGTGAGAACGCACCAGGAAGGCTATTTTATTGATTTTCGCTGCCGCATCTTCGACCTGTTGTCGGTCCAATTGGTAGGGTGCTTTCTTGTCGAGAAGTTCGACAGATCTAGGAGTGATTGCAACTGTGCTCATAATTCCAATGTTGCAAAGAGGCGAGCGTTAGTCGGAATTATACTAGAACAACTACTCGCGCCGTCTAAGATCTTCCAGGTGTATTTTAATCACTTAGCTTTCCGCCCCCATATTCACGGGACATGCAACATCGTTCATCTATTAGTAAGGATTCTAGGCAAACAAGGCAATGATGCAGGATAAATGAAGTGTCCATGCAGACTGGGTTCGGCTACAATGTGATTTGGCGAACGAGTGGTCCGTTGCCCGGACTATTCCAAATGCAGGGTGCCCTGTGGCCCCAATGCATATGTACTGAACCAAACCTGCGAAATCCGGAATCCAGAGTGCGTTTTGGCCCCAATGCATGCCTACTTAACCAAACCAATCGTTTAATTGCTACGAAATCCGAAATCCAGGGTGCTTTTTGGCCCCAACGCATGCTTACTTGACCAAACCAATAGTTTCATTGCTGCGAAATCCCAATTCCAGGGTACTTTTGGCCCTAATCCATGCATTCTTAACCAAACTAATAGTTTGATTGCAAGTTCTAACTGTAAGTAGGCGATGGATACAACGAAGGTGAAAAAAGCAGCTATCTTGGTAAAGGTAGTAGGAGCAAAAATGCAAAGTTTGTGAATGGGGAAACCGATTGGTTTAAAGTAGGTATGAAGTCGAGCCTAGTAGGTGGCAGTTGGTAATCACGTTTTTGGTCGTAATAATTCCTATAATTCCACTAGACTGGACGAATGAACGTTATGCTAACGTACCCTCAAGTGAGCTGTCACTATAAGGAAGCCAAAACCTGTATCAAGAGAGCTCGACTTCATAGCTAGGGAAAAGAAACAAGCGTTCACCACCAACTTCGGAGCTTAGCGATTTGCGGGGGTTAGCACATGTGGCTTGGAAAGTGGCAATATCAAAAACTGTGTGACATGTACCTGTACCCTCTAATTTACACATTTCAAAGCGTCTAAGTTGCGATAGTTTCCCACTGTAGATATCAGAAGTATATATTATTGTTTGGCTGTTTCTCAGAGCGTGGAGGTCGAATGTAGAGTTATGCTAAAGCCCTGCCTTGTGATCGCCTGTTATGGTGCTCGGGCCACTGGTCGATTATTCTACCGATTCGCCGCAGAAATCCCGACTTGGCAACGACTCTGGGAGAGTTTTGCTATACCTTTTCCTCCCCTTCTTCAACCTTTCATTACTGAAGCGTCCCCACTCATCGTTCAGTCTTTCCTCAAACTGTGGCCCTGAGATCTTCATGGATCATTGCCTCTTATTCCACGGCCGTTATTTGCGTCGCACCTCTGAGCTCATCGACCGTCGCGCTTTGTCGGCATGGTGGACGCGCGGCGATCGCTGATAATCGAAGCAAAGCCCATAGGCCCCGGTTTAAATGGATTCTGTGAATCTGTCCGCTCTCTCTCCCAAGACCTTGTCGCTTCCAGTCCCAACACCCCACTGAATCGAATAGATAGCGAAGGTAAAGGTTACCGAATGAGCCACGATGCTCAGCTAATAGATATAAGTCCTTCAGGATCACGCCCTTGATCTGATCCTAGCGCTGCAGGCTCTTCCTGCCTCTCGTGTTCTCCCATCTAGTAACGGCGGAAAGAACCTATTTGGCTACCTCTCCTGACTGAATCAAGCCATCAACGCCGGGGATTTCGACGTACGACGCCTCATACCACTCTTCTGCGCCGTTCTCGATAATGAGACCGATTCCACTATATGGGAGAAAGTTTATGATGTAGTCGCTGAACGAACACTGACAACGGTTACCGAACCTTCGACGCCTCCACCATCGGGTTCTCCCCGTACCACCTCGTTTCAGACACCTTGGACATTCAACACAGGCAGCTTTGCAGACACATCCGACCTCAGAAGGAACGTGGATCCGATACTCAAGAACGAAGTGGAGGATAATCTTAAGATCGATCATCCGGACGATTTCGATACGTTCTTTGGGCAAATTCCGAAGCTTCGTGAGATAACAACAGCAGTATTGCAGGGATGCAAAGGTGCAGAGCTGCCGCTCTTTCAAGAAGATGTGGGTTGGGTGGAGTGGCCAGAAAGATGCGAGGAGATAGCGGTCCTGCAATTCCTTGGTCGCCATGTCGACCAGTTTCAACGGTGTGCGGATGATCACGGCTTCTGCCCTTCAAAGCGCCCCCGCTGCATCACTACTCCGAACAAGCCCATTCCAGGATCAATCAGCAAGCGAAAGTTGGATGTTGGGCTGGCATATAACTCAGGCAACGAGCTGGAGGAGAGCAAGGGACACAGCTATGACTGGTCACACATCCTCGTCCCTGGCGAGCTGAAAAGCAATCCGCGAGAGGACAATCACAGTAGTACCTGGTTGGGCCTCGTGAGATATGCCTGGGAGATATTCAGCTCGCAAGACACACGGCGGTTCATTCTAGGGTTTACCCTATGTGGATCGATCATGCGGTTATGGGAATTCGACAGGCTTGGGGTGGTTGGGTCCACACCATTTGATATCAACAAGGAAGGTGAGAAGTTTATTTCAGCAGTCTTGGGATTTTTGTGGATGTCGGAGGAAGAGCTCGGTTTTGATCCGACCATAGCGGAAGATGGCAGAAGGTACATGCACATTGAACGGAATGGTCGGATGGAGCGGATCTGGTTGGATGCGCACATGAGGCGACAGCGCTCTGTGGCTGGCCGAGCAACAACATGTTGGAGTGGCTCCCTCAATGGTGAGTCGGGCAGTCATCTTGCGATCAAAGATTCTTGGAATATGAAGAGAGGCCCGAAGAGGGGCTTCTGCTCAAAGAAGCGACCGGAGCCGGCGCTACGAATGTGGCACGGTATTACCATCACGAGACGGTGTATATCAATGGCGAGGTGGACGATGTCTCGGCAAACGTGCGGAAAGGACTAAATGATACAGTCGGTCGGGATCCACTTCTACAACGACGGACGGCACATTCCGACACCATCACAAATTCGACGGCTTCAAGTGCTTCTGGTGCAAGAAGGGGTAGAAGCAGGAGTACCAGCCGAACGATAACGCGGAAGAGGTCTTCGAGCAGTATTCAGGCATTGATGCCGCGTCCCAAACGATCATGCTCGGACTCCCCAGCCAAGCAAGATAGGCAGCGAAGAAATCGCGTTCACCGCTGACTTATCATACAAGATGTTGGGAAGAGCATATACGAAGCGAGTTCTCCCCGTGGCATTCTGACGGGATTGCTCGGAGGCATCAAAGGCGAGTGCTGCACGAAGCTTTCTGAGTCATGGCTGATTTCTTAGGTCACGAGTCGCTTCTTGATGCAAATATCCTTCACCGAGATATATCAATCGGGAATGTCATGCTGAACATGGCAGAGGACGACGGGTTTTTGATCGATCGCGAGCACGCTTCCGGCGCTCCGAGTAAAACCGGTACCAAAGTATTTATGGCGATCGGTGCCCTGTATGGCGAAGATCACAACTTTATGCACGATCTTGAGTCGTTTTTTTGGGTGTTGTTTTGGACCTGTATTCATTGCACTGGACCAAGCGGGCGCCGTCGCGTGTCAAAATTCGAAGCATGGAATTTTGAGAGCACTGAAAACCTCGCTAAGATCAAGAAAGGCTCTGTAGACGAAGAAGACAAATTTACCAAGGAAGTGGAGGAAAATGTCACGACTTACTGCACTCCATTAATTCCTTGTGTTCAGGAACTACGGAAGGTAGTATTCCCAGAGGGAAAGCGATGGCTGAAGGAGGATCGCCAGCTCTATTCTCGCATGAAGTCTATTCTTCAGCAGACAAGCGATGTGTTAGATGCCGTAGAGGAATAGCAGTTCGTTTGGTCGTGTTGCACGTATTTACCCTCCTATCGCCATCAGCTTAATATCATGAATCGTCTAGGGCCATCCAAATCCACCGTCCTCTTTTCGAGACTCATTCCATGCTCATTGTTAGTTGTGCTTGGCTAGCCACGGATTCTATTTTGGTCCTCGCAGTGAGTCCAATTCCGAGAACCTGGCCAGATCTGCTAGTGGTCTCTCGTGCTCGTGGTTGGAGGAGACCGTCCTCGAAATGCCTCATCACATACCGCCCCAGATAGTAACACGACCACTTTCAAAAGCCGTCATCAACGCAAGAATAAATTCAACGCCCCCTTGACAAGGTCATGTCCGGAACAGGTCAGCCATCCTCCCTGCTAGTAGTAGCAACATTGACGATAAACCTCGGTTATCTTCCTCTTAATACGCTCGTATACTGCACGTAAACATATATTTAGTAATTTCATCTAACTAATGTGTTCCACGGGCGAGGGCGGCACCCTACTAACTTTAGCTACCTCTTTTATCTTAACATACAAGAGCTTAACGCAACGCTATTTAATTCGCTTTCAATTAAGCAGATATTCAAATTATAGTTTTATTAAAAACTGTCACGATTATGCACGAGTAAGGTTATAGAGCTTCACGGAGGTCTAGTTTAATTACTACGTGAGGTATTATAGTAGGTACAAGACGTTGTGTAAGGAACAGAAAGGTTTAAAAAAAAATTAGTAATTAAATACTTAGCTTAAAAGTCTAAGCGCTTTAAGTATAAATTAAGCCTGTTCTAAGTTTAGTTAGTGTTAAGGCAGTTTATACTTAAGTTTATGTCTATGTTATGTTATATTTATGTTAGACGTGCACTAATAATACTCTAGTACATGTCTAATACAGTTATGTCTAGGATCTAGGGAGGATACTATAATAGTACTCCCCCTCTTATTAGAAAGAGAATCTTTTACATTAGTAGTTCTAGCATTAAGTTGTCTTTATTAGAGTATAAGTTTAGTTTAGATAGGTATTAGGCGTAGAATTAGGTTACTATAGAGTTTTTTTATAAGGCTTCTATAGGTTTCTATAATAGTTTGTTATATCTAGTCTATTTTATAAAGTATTTATAGATATGTTTTTTTTTATTAAACTAAATCTATTTAACATCTTTTATAATATATTCTAGTTTATTATTTATAATAATAGGTTTAAGTAGCAGGTTTAGCTATTTAGGTAGATAGTTAGATTTAAAGGCTACTTAGCGCAGTAATAATATGTAAAACACAGGGTGTATCTTTATGCTGTTAGGTAGGATTAATTAGTAAGTGTGTAATAAAACTATATAAGCTACTATAAAAAGGCTAAAGTTTTTTTAATTAAGTTTCTTTAATTATTAGTTTATTTAAATATTTCTAGTGTCTAGCTAGACCTTCTTACTAGCTGCATACGCAGTAGCAGAGGTTTAGAATTAGTTTATATACTTTTGTTAAAAAGCTTAAGCCTATATAAGCTTTTTATAAACATATTTAAATATATTTTAGATTTTATTAATAAGTCTATTTATATTTATTACTTATATAAATTAATAAGTTAGTTAGAGAGTATTTATAAGTAGTTTAAATTTTATTTAAAGGTAGTATTTATAGTTTGCTAAGAACAAAGATACTTACATTAATTTAAATGTTATGTTATTAGCTTTAAACTATGCTATAGCTAACTATTTTACCTAGTTATTTTACTAGTAGTTTATGTACACTTATAAAACTTATTTTATTATAGTGTTTATATTTTTAGTCTAGCTGTTAGTCTCTAGGTAAAAAGCTATAGATAAATAGAGAATAATTTAGAGCTATTTATAAAGTTTGTTCTAAAAAGCTAAGATAAACTATGTACCTCTATCTAATATAATTATGTTAGGCAGGCTATAGTAAACTTATATATATTAGTAGAATAACTAGGCTATATTAGAAGTAGTTATAAAGAAACATAGTATTAAGTGTTAATACTTAGTTAAGTAATTAATAACTACTATAATATTTATATACCCTTTAAATAAAGGTAAGTTTATAATAAAATTAATTAATATATCTTTTTAAGCTTATTTAGAGATTAAGAGTAGTTTAAGTAGGCTATTATACTTTTTTTAAGAGGCTTTTACTTTATAGTAAGTATAGCAACATAATACATATTAGCATACAGTATAGAACATGCAGGGCTAGTAGTACTCTCTCTGTAGTAGGTTAAGAGTTTTTCCTCTGCCTAAGTGTCCTCTAACAGGCAAGTTGTGTATAATTTAAAGTAGTTTAATTCTTAGTTTATTAAAATTAAAAATTATAAGTTAGTTATAGTAATATAGCTTACTATTTTAGTTTTTATAGTTAGCTAGTGTTACCTTTTTTAACTAACTAGCGCTATTTTAGAGCAAGTCTAAAGTTTCTTAGATAAATTTATTATTTAAATACTTATTAGTAATAATTTAATTAATTATCTAATCTATTTTATTTAAGTTAAGGTCTAAAAATAGCTTAAGTTAGAGTAAAGTTTAGTGTTAAGCTTTTTACACTTTTTTTTAAGTAAGAATGTCTTAGAATTACTTTATAAAAGTATCTAGTTTCCCTTTATTTTAACTAAAATAATAAGTAATCTTAAAATTAAAATAAGACAAGTGTCTGTACGCAGCAGCAGCGTCGCGGCCTGGATACAAGCGATCACGCACGAGCAGGATCACGTATCTATGTCACATGATGCTCGTGCGCGAACCTCTGTGCGCGAACATCTAGATATCCCCCTTTTCCTCTGTACAGAGGAAAAACAAGAAGCAATTAACACTAGTTACCTAACACCCCTGTGCAATGTTTACACTATGCAAACCTCTCTGTCTTGTACGCATTTGCTAACACTAAGTGCTAGCTATCAGAGAGTCTATTTAACACTAATTAGTAGTTTAAATACTATAAAAAAGAAAGCTTTTTTTATACTTTTTTATTTAAAAGTTTATGTATAAGAAGAATTCTTTTTCTTACTACTTTAACTATAAATTAGTAAGAGTAAAGATAAAGTCTAATTTATGTGCAAGTAGCTATAAATCTCTATTTAGTTACTTAAGTAAAAGTAAGAAACCTGTCTAAATAATACTGTTTAAAGGTATTATATAAATAGTAGTGCTTATTTAACACTAGAAGGTTTGTTTTATCTTTTTGCACAAGGCTGTTTAGAGGCAGCGTACAACAAGAAGTAAGACAGCGCGCAACAACACATAATTAACTACTATAAAGCAATAAGTAATGCTAGCTTTATCTATAACTAGCTAACATAACGTATTAATGTATAACTAATATGTACCTTTTGTAGGCATCTTAGCAAAGACCCTAGCAGAGTAGACAAACATTAAAGATTAAGTAAATAAGATTAAACTATTAAATAACACACTTAAAAAGAAGCTTAATTTATACACAGCTAACTTAATTATAAAACTCTGCGCGTTAAGCGCAATAAATGTACATACACTTAAAAACTTTTAAGATAACTTTATAGAGTAAAAGCTTATACACTTTAAAAATCTTAGCTAACTATTCTTATAAAAACTAATTACTACTCTGTAGAATAAGGGCATTAGCTTTAAGAAGAACATAATAAAGGCTACTATACTATATAGACTTATAAAAAAAGAACACATGTTTACTGTTTTACTAAAGTATTATATAAAACTATTACTACTATTACTAGTCTTAATGTAATAGAGGATATCTCTATATAAATTACCTGTAGACCTAATACTTCCTCTGCAATTAGTATAACTACCTTATAATAGCTTACTGTACAAGAGCACAACTAGGCAGCTACATATTCCTGTAGCCACAGCTCCACATGAGATTCCCTAAAGCTTGTACCTACTACATATAATTTAATTACTATACAATCTATACTAACTTCTACCTACATAAGATATTATAGCAGAGAACCTTACGCCTAAGAAGGTTATATAATTCTAGAAGGTATAAAGAAAAAAGAATAACTACATAAAGCAACTATATAATATTCTAGCTAATAAGGCTATAGTATTTATTAAGCTCTGCTAACACCTTACTATCTTTAAAGCATTATACATAAGCATCTTTTCTAATATCTTTAAAGGGCGCGCACACATGTTCTACTTTTATAATATTAGTCTAGGACAATTATAGAAGTTACTGTACAAGTAGCTTAGTAATTACTTTAATACTAATGTAAACTATAACTAGTATTAAATAGATTAGATAATAATAAGCTTTACATAAAATAAGTAAAAAAACTTTATAAAAACTTTACATAAAGCTTTTAAAGCTATAATTAATAAACTTACTCTTATATAAAAAGCTCTTAGTCTATAATTCTAAAGCAAGATACTGCTTTACACTGCTATTATATAAGTATACTAAGGGCAACTTAAACTTAAACAAGTAATGTTCTTAATTAAGCCTACATATAAGGCACTATATAGTAACCTTTGTTTAGCACTTTAGGTTATAATTAATTAATAGAATAATGCATTTATAAATAAATCCTAAGACATGTACTACACTAATAGGCAATATAGCTTACTATGTACACATAGCTATTAACAACATAGAAGAAGCCTAAGGGGATATAGAGGATTATTTAGACTATAGTCCTCTACATAATTAAAGTAATGCTTTGTCTGTTATAAGAAAAAATGTTAGTTAATAAATTATTTTTATATAAATTAATTTTATATAAAATGCTAATATATCTCTTTATATAAAGAATTCTATAACAAGACACTAATATATAAAAAGGTAAATATATACATTTAAAAGTTTAAAAGTAAACTAAAGTAGAAAAAAAAAAAGTTGCATAATAATAATAACTTAGATAAAAAGAAAGGTAAAGAGATTATTAACTACCTTACTAATACTACATTTCTCTACTGCGCAACTGCAGAGGACATCTACAGCCTAGAACCTAAAGAATACGCAGAACAGTTTATCCTTAAAGATTAATACTGTATAGTATACTAAGGT